ATATCTTCTTTATATCGCAAATATATATTAAAAGTGTCTTTAATACATCTTTTAGATATTGAAGGTTTCTGTAAAGTCTGTCCTTGGACTGACATGATCTTTTTACCTAATGGGATGGACCGGTCTTTTTGGTCTTTTGATAATATAGACTGCAGTCTCAGGACTGGACCAGTCCAAGATTGGACCAGTCTGGGACTGATAAAATTAGATAAATTTTTTTTTGAAATGATTTTTTGTACTACAATTTAATAAATAAAAAATAAATATTAAGAAAATGAAAAGTTGATTTTTAATCATAATAATAATAATTATTATAATAAACAAGTTCAAAAAAAAATAAAATCAAAAGGAAAGTTATTTTTAATCATAATAATAAAAATAAGTAATAATAGACAAGTTAAAAAAATTATTTTTAATAATAGACAATTAAAAAAAGCAGAGTTGTTTAATAATAATAATTAAAAGTTTAAACAATAATTAGAAAGTTTTGGATATAACTTAAAATCTTAGAATAAAATAATTCACAATTCATTCCTTTGATTAGAATATTTTTCATAAAGTATCCTTGATTTTTTTTACAAATTGAAATAATTTTTTCATTAAAAAACATTATTATATAGAAATATATTTTTTTTTATCATCAAATATTTCGTTAATTAAAGATGGGTGACAATTCCAGTGTTGATGAAAATTATCTTCAAGAACCAGATGTTGAGTTCAATAATGATATTGTACCAATTATTGATATAGATGATGATAGTAACACCAACAACAATAGTTTATTAAGTTTATCAGATATTTCATCAGAAATAATTTCAGATGCAGTGCATGATAATAACAACAACAATAACAATGTTCATAATAATAATGATTTTTACAATAATAATAATAATAATAATAATAATAATAATAATAATAAAAATTCATTTGTTTGGTTGTTTTTTTCAAGATTGCCAAATAACAAAGTGCAATGTAAAACATGTAGGCAATTGTTTAGTGAAAAATCAGCTACCACCACTCTCAGATGACATGTTGAAGGGAAACATTCCAATGTTTATGCTAGAACCAAACAAACTGCACTTGAAATAAACAGTTTTCAACCATATTCTACAACATCTCCAGAATATAAATCAATGACCAATAAATTAATTGATTGGCTTGCAGCAGATTTGCTGCCATTTACAATTGTAGACAGTCCTCATTTCAATAAATTCATAAATTTATTAAATGGTCGTTATAAACCACCATCTCGTCAAACCATCAAAAAATTAATAATTAAGAAATTTAATATTAAAAGAAATAATCTAAAATATGACATTGAAAAAATA